CGACGACAAGCTACAGTTTTTGACTCTATATTCAGTTGCTTCCCAACTAACCAAAGAGTCGGGGGCTATATAAATACAAGACTCAAAATCCGACAAGTTTTATGTCAAGATAAAGCAATCAATTAATCAAGGAGTCAACTCTGGGAGTCATTATCTTCGTCTTCACTTCCGAGCAAGCTTTCTACTTCATCAACTCCAATTATTTCACCGGCAATTTTGGCTTCTCTGTCGTCGCCACGATCTACTTCAAATTTCTCTAGTATCAAGTTTGAGATTTAATCTACATATTCGGGAGGATGGAGTTATCAACCAATTTCAACGAGTTGGACAACAATTTCTACTTTTCTTCAAGTGAAGCATCTACAACAGCTACAACTCCAAGTTCTATTGCCATCTTTATAAATCAAGGGGTGTTGCATCAATCTTTGTTATGTACACGCTCGCATCAAGGAAACTACTCGAGTTTCAATATCTTCTCAACAATTTGATGGATTATTGTCACTGACATCATCACCAACACCTCTGCTTCATCGGCCCTGACGTCTCCGCTGTTGCTAATGGATGATTATGTCTTCGCCGACTTATTATTTCACCTTCACAGTTGACCTACTACGCAAACGCTGATGAGCATCTTTGTCATTATCATCGGCTGCTACACCGCTATTGACTGGATCACCGACATCGTCATCTTCATCAACATCCTGTCAAGCCTCTTCAACATAGCCCACTCTACTAATATTGATGGGCAACTTCGTCATCATATTTGATCATCTCTATTGTTGCCAATCGTCATTACCATCGGTTGCATTTGTTGTCGTCGACTATTTCCTGCATTTTCATGATTGGAGGATTTCGTCATCGTCGTTGATGCGCGTCTACATCTTCATCGTTGGCTTGTTTTCATCGCCACCGACTGGTATTCTCGCCTTCACGGATGGCTTATTATGTTGCCACTAGTGGGCATCTTCATCTTCTTCACCAGCTGCCTCGTATGTCACCGACTGATTATTTCGCTGCCATGGTTACACAACTTTATTGTTGGGTGCCTTCATCTTCATTGTTGGCTGACCTGACTGCTGCCGACTGGTTTCTTCACCTCTACGGCTGTGCAACTTCATCACTTTTGATTGGTATCACTATCTTCACTACCACCAATATTTTTGCCACCTCTGTTGGGTAATATTATCTTTATATTGGTCGTCTTGTCTCTATGCCAACTACGTCAGCTACCATCAATGGACAATTGTGACTACGATAGAAGGACAAGCTATATGCTCAGGGGCTTACTACCTCAAACACAAGTATCATACCTTCAATTTGGACTTGTTCCGGATACATGCAACATGAATTCATGATCATGGGTCTATTTTCTGTGCTCAAGGACTAGACTATTTATTATTCCCCGTAAAGGTTATCAACTGAATACTTGCACCAGTCGGGATTCAATTGTTATATCTATTTTGGAGTATCCCATAAGGGATAATCACTCAGATCAGAAGCTATTCATATGAGCTACACTTGGTCTATATCACCCGGAAGATTTATTACTCGGGAGCATGTTATATGCGTCATCCTTTAAAGGGTGTCGAAGGCATATTTTTTGGCCTAGGCCTAATATGTCTGCAGCCCACATTTTCAGGTGTGGTCTGTCACGTTCTTTTAGGGACTTAGGCACTTTTTGCTTAGGCCAAAGTGCACGTGATCAAGTGCCCAATACCTTAAAATCCTTTTATACCGCAGTTACTTAACTTTTTAGGAGTTGGTACAATGCATCTTAAAAGCTGTCAAACAGTAAAGCTTTATATAGCTGCCCCGCTGACTTTTTTATATAGTCAAGGCGCTGTTTGGGTTTATCAAGCAATTGATTGGATACAATATCGTTGCTTTTTGCGATGTAAGTGTGCATTTTTATTGACCAATATTATGGCTTAGGCTGATTATATATTGTGGTCATTTTCCAGGCAGCTGGTAAATCCTTTATGAGTTTATTTACTTGGATTTTACACCACATATGCTGTATATTTCTAGGTGTGGTGAAACCATGTGTCTTTTAGGGACTTAAGCACATCTGTTAAAGCAGTGTGCGCATGACTTATGCCCAATACTTTGGAAATTTCTTTATTCACAGCATTCAAGCTTTTTTATAACTGTTTTGCTATGTGAATTTTCAATGATGTAGTCAACTTTAGGTTGCTCTCATCAAATTTTACAAAGCAGTCGGTATATCATCTGGATCATGTTATTTAGGGATTCACACCGCATATGCTATATATTGATATCAAGTCACTTGGTTGACTATAATTATCAAAAACCACTCGGTTGGTTGGATTATTTATTCCTTGACTATATGCTTGGTTTGTTCAACTAATCACATGGTCGGAGGCTACACCTATTAGGTGCATATACTCGATGCACCTAAATTTACATTCAATTATTTTTCAGCCCTCCACAGTCTTTGGATTTGGTAAAAGTACTCGAGAGACCATGGCATAGATGATTGAAGCACTCGGCTCTGGAGTAATCTAGTTCGAGAGAAGATTATCTTTTCGACTGTGAAGGTCTCAGGGGCTACTGTGGAGATTATGGGTACCCCATACCCACACGGCATGGTTATCCGACTGGTTATAGGGGATAACTAATATCTATGAAATATTTAACGAATCATGACTTGGGTATTACGTTTCCCTGTATATTATGGAACGGCCTAAAGTCCTGGTTTGATAATATTATAAAATAGATTTAGGAAACCGATACCATATTGGTTAAGGTTTCTATCTTGTAACCCTGCCCCCCAACCTATATAAGGCGGGCAGGGAGCCCCCTCTAGGGGCATGAGCACATATGACTCAACTAGATCGATAGATCAATACAACACCCGGCGGATTCAAATCCCCAAACAGGAGTAGGGTATTACCTCTCATCGAGAGAGCCTGAACCTGTCTAAATTATTTGTCTCCGCATCCATCCACTTTTAGGTCTCGTGCGCCACCCCCTTTTACTATTACCGAATTTATGTTTCGACACCTGATGACCCAACTGACATCATCAACTGAATGTCGAATTGGGCGATCCTGCGTCGCGTTTTGGGCTTTTGGCTGGAGAAGATGTGCACGAAGACTTTAAGGTTGAAAAAAAGATATGCATCTACAGGTGGGATAAAAGAAGAGGCTTGGATCCTGAAGTGGAGTCTTTTGTATGCAGATCATGTTGCATCTCAGTTTCATTGTTTCTTCAGGAAAACTATGGAAATCTGGATGTTTTTGTATTTATAATATATATGCTCGAATAGGTTGTTGTTTTTTCTGTCTTTCTGGAGGCCTGGTCCACGAGTGCAGAACACTTTATGCAGCTCTATCTCATTTCTCTTAATGGAAATGGAGGGTATATCCCTTTGATAAAAAAAAATTTAAAACGTGATTCGACAAAATGTCAATCTCGAGCACATGCTATTTGCCGCTTTGCCATTTTCGTTTTTCCAGTGATTTCCAAAATGTTTTTTTGCCCTTACGCGTGGTGATAAGATGAAAATGCCCCTATCTATGGTAAGATGAAATGTTTTTTTGCTCTTTTTATTTGACGAAACGAACGCAGCCGGCCACGGCAACAGCCGGCGCAGAGCTTCTTCTCAGCGGCCTCGTCACTGTCGCGGCTCTCCTTCACGAGCCACGCCACCTTGGCCTTGGGCAGCCGCATCAGCCTCCATCGGCGACACCGCCGTCGCCCCCCAATCTCCTACTGCCTTTGCCTCCTCTGCTCCCTCCAAGCCGTCCCCACCGACCGCCTCCTCTCCCACCCACTCCCGTCCACCGCGCACATCTGCGTCGCCGCCCCACCTCCTCGTCCGTGACTGTCTCTACGCCCACTCTTGCCGCCTCCTCGGCCCCGGCCACTCCCGCTCCCACCCCCACCTCGCCGCCTCTCTCATCGACCTCCTTCACTGCATCGTGCTCGCCCTCGACCCCTGATGCAGAGGAACACGCCTCCGTGCCCGACACGCTTCATGGCCCCATGCCGCCACCTCCACTACTCTCACCACTACCGCACTCTCCACCTTCACGCCGCTAGCCGCCGCCGCCCCAATCTCCCACCTCCTCCGCTCCCTCCAAGCCGTCCCCGCTGATGGCCCCGACGTAGCGCGCTTGCCTCTGTGGTCGACACGCTCCTCTCCGTCCTCACCGACCGTGGCCTACTCGACGACGCCGCTCAGGTTTTTGATCAAACCAATCCATTGACACAAACGATTGATGGGCGAAAAGTGGGTTGTTTGGATCTTGGAGATAAGTGAGTTGTTCCGGTCCTGGAGGATTGACGGGGAGAACTGCAAGTTTTCGGAGCCGAGATATCCATTCGAGTCACTATGGGCGTATTTGTTCAATTGACACGTCCGAAGGAATCATCGTTGGACTTACTGGATCTTTAGCTATTCATGTGAGAATTGATCAGCTAATACTCATCCGTCCAAAAAAAACCCAATCATAGCTACAAACATGGATATATAGTGTTCAGATTCGTAGCTAAGTTTGTCTTTTTTTTTAGGACAGAGTAGTAATATTTCCCAAGTATAGTACAGTACACTAAATAAAACGGGAGAGCAGTGTACAAAACATACTACCTCCAATCCAAAATAAGTGCACATTTGAGTATTCGCGTCCAACGTTTGACCGTCCGTCTTATTTGAAAAATTTATGAAAAAATTTAAAAATATTAATCACACATAAAGTGCTATGCATGTTTTACCAACTAATAGCAGTAAAAATACTATTACATCAACTGATTCATATACACTAACGAACAAGAAGTGCAAGGAGAAAAGATGAATAATGATCCAAAACAGAACAGAAGCATATGGCATGGCAAAGAAGCGACCCCAACTAATTCCTTCCTTTGCAACCCTCGTCATGACTCATGATTCCACCATAACAGCTATCCGTATTAGTCTCTACTTATAAACAGTGCACGCTCCAAATTCATCCGAGAATAAACGTCACCTTAGCATCTAATTGCAGACAGAACGATATATCAGGTTGAAATACATAAGAGTGCATATGTTACACATTATCCAAATGCATGCCACATTAATACAAAGCCACATAGGTTTGTACCGTCTCATAGATAAAAGGTGCTTAGACTTAGTACCACAAAATACATAACCATCAAGGATAACATTCAGACAGGTGAATCACATGATTCGAAGGGCTAACAGGGATATGGTAAAGCTAATATTCAGACAGGTGATTCACATGATTGCGAAGTGCTAACAGGGTGAAGAACACAGCACCAGACGCAGAAACAGCGGACAGCGCCATGATCCTGTAATATCTCGCTTCATCTGCATGTCGTTTAGCCAATTCAGCAAGAAACCTGATGTCCTCTTCAAGAGTAGAGGCACGGCCCTTGCCAGTAGGAGTTGTAGTCTTGGGAGATGCTGTGCCCTATGCATGGTTCCACATGAAGGAAGAAACATAATCAGATTGCTAGGCATTGCCAAGTGCAAACAAACGGATGCTGATTGAAGAAAAATGCCCAGCCAACAGATGAAGTAGCTAGCATAACTAGTCGCTCATTTAGTCAGTTGCACATACCCTCAACTGGTGCATCTTGCACTTGCCTAGCAGTTACATATTCCCTCTATCCCTAAATATTTGACGCTGTTGACTTTTTTAAACATATTTGACCGTACATCATATTCAAAAACTTTTGTGAAATATGTAAAACTATATATATACATAAAAGTATATTTAACAATGAATCAAATGATAGGAAAAGAATTGATAATTACTTAAATTTTTTAATAAAACAAACGGTCAAACATATTTAAAAAAGTCAACGGCGTTAAATATTTAGGGACGGAGAGAGTACAACCAGTATGTAGATAGAGAGTGACACTAATTCTATTTACCATAACAAACCGGATACTCACTACTTACACGATCCTATCCATGCACTCTTAATATAATATATAAATATTTTGCTTACCAAGCCAGCAATTTAAGAGACAATATTATATGCATGCATGCATAGACAAGGTAAGTTAACATCAGGCAGGCCATGAAGCAATTGAGTAGAGAAAAGAGAAACTTCGATTGAAACTTTTTCCCCAAATTGTGCTCTCTAATCTGGGTCGGGTGGGGAGAGCGCGAGATGAATCGAAACAGATCCTGAGGCCAGGAAGCGAGCGAGCGGGGCTAATTGCGCGCAGCTGACGGTGGATTAAACCTATGCGGGATCGATCGATCGATCTAACGAAAATAGGGAAGCTGAGAAGGGGGGCGAAGGAAGAGAGACAACCTCGAGGCGGTGGAGGGAGCGCGATGGCGGCGGCGGCGGCGCCCGGCGCAGAGCAGCCGGGACCGGCATGACCTTCCTCGCAAGAGTGCGCATCGCCATAGCCGCCATGCCGCCGACGTACGGACGAACGGGAGCAAGGTCGGGGGCGGCGGCGACAGCGAGCTAGGGTTTTTCTCTCTCTCTCTCTCTCTCTCTCTCGGTCGCTTCGCTGGGAAGGACGAAGGCGTCTTGGTTGAGAGCCTTGTGTGTTTCTTCGCCTTTTCCTTTTCTCTCTCTTTTGTTACCGCTGCCCTACCCGTTACTGGGACCGACTCCAGATGCGCCAATAGGTTCGGCCCAGCCCACCAGCCTGTAATCCTGTATTTATGCTGTTATAGAAAAACTATACATATAAATTTTAATTTCATATTTTAAAACTTTATACATACAAACTTTTATTATTTTTTTACGATCACTCTACATGAAAGCATATAAATCTGAACCAACGTACATATAAAATGTTTTGTTGTAGGTGTAAAATGTTTGATGCATAAACTTGACAAAAGGAAGACATGGTTGTTGAAATAGGAAATCTTCCATGTTTCTATAGTTAAATTCACTGTGTCGCTTTAGGACAAGCACATTTTCGGCGTCTACTTTAGGCTCCGCCATCTTTGTAGTCTTGGTAGCCTAGTTTTCCCTAATTAATTGTGCGTTGTAAGGTTTAGTCTTATTTTCTCTTTAAAATGTGACACCTTCTTCTTTATATAAAATGTCGGCAACAGCCTAAACGTTCGGAAAAAAAAGTTTGCTAGATAGTCCGAATTTTTTATTTATAGTAATTATTGATCCTTAAATAAAATAAATAGTAAATCTCAGATTAAATTTGTAAAAATAGGAAGGACGTTGTTCCCAATAGCGTCCAGACTTGGACACACTTCTGAGGAGCGTCCAAAGGTGGACGCTGTTCCGGACGGCGTCCAATCTGGTTCACCTCATCCTCTTGGGTTCGGTTGTTCTTCGACGTTCTCCACAACCATTTGCAGGCGAAGGTGCACCATCGCCGGCTTTCCTCTCCTCCCTGCACGGCTAGGGCAGAGGAGCCACCACCGCTGTCCACCTCGACGTCTGGGTGGCCCGCACCGACTTCCACCTCCACCTGGGAAGGTACTGAGTCCACCTCGGCTCCAGCCTCCGGGGAGGCGGCCCATCGCTGTCCTCCTCCACCCTTGAGACCGTAGCCGCTTGCCTCCATGCCCAAGAAACCACCATCGTCGTTCCCCTCCATGCTGTCTTCCATCCCTTCTCAAGTACGCCACAAGGTTGCTGCCACCGCCTTCAGAGGAGATGCGAGCCTGTTACTCAACTCCGCAGTGCTCGTCGGTGGTAGACTGGAAGCCCAAACGCCTCCATTGCCTCTCACCGCCCTTTGTGATGTGTTCTCTTCAGGTAATTCTTTATTTGGAGCTTCCATTCCTCAGCAGTTCATGGCCTACCAAATTAAAGCAAAATGATTAGTTCATTTACTTCAGTACTTGGCAATACTTGCATCAAGTTCAGAAAAAAATCTCTGGCTTCACGAACAACAATATTACTGATGCTAATGTCCATCATGACATACCCCCAATGTTGCATTGGTGATCGATCTTCTTGATAAATTTGAATGCAGGTTAGAAAAACCGGCTACTAATTAATAATGTCAATTATGTGTTATGGATGCCTTGGCCAGTCAATGTATCAAAACTATCCGAAAACAAGACATTGGTTCTTATTTTGCTTTATTTTGTGTGCTCAACGTCTGTACTTACAGGCTATACTTTCAAATATTAGTGAATTCCATGCATACCACTACCAGTTAATTGTCATATTCTGTTTATATGTATTCTTCTGTACAGCCTGCTAGACGCTAATAGGAGTAAAAAGATAGAGTAATTGAGTAAATGACTGCATCACATTGACAAAATTGATAACGTGTACAGTCTGTCTGTTAGAGAAAGGGATGAAGGCAAAGCTATTATATATGCACTTCAATGGCTAAAGACAGGGGTACAGTACGTAAATATTCCATTAAGGACGCAAATCATCATTTGTTGATCCTCTCCTTTCGGCGTGGTGGGTGAATGGAGAGGAGACTTCCGCACCCAGAGACCCCAAATGTGCGATCCATTCTGGCCGGACGCGTTGCGCTTGCGAACCAGGATATGGACGCTGTTGCCAACAACGTCCCGATCTGGACGCACTTAGTTACAGCGTTCAATCCTGGACGCTACAGTCAAGAGCGTCCTTCCTATATAGGTAAATCCCACCCCATAATTACTAAATTTTTAATTTAGGTATAATTAATTATTACAAATAAAAAAATCGGCTAGATAGTCTTTTGGGGCATGTGAGTGCTGCAGCCATTTAGAGTTGGGACAACAAACATATCAAAGTGAAGAACACTACTACTCCCTCCGTACGTCCCAAAAGATTCGTCTCGTAATTTTACACGTAATATATGTAATTATTTTTTTTATATTTAATACTCCATGCATATTTTTAAATATTCGATATGACAGCATATAAAATTTTGACGGGGCACGATCTGTCGCCATATATTCTGACGGAGGGAGTATGGTTCAGGTCTCTTTGAATTTTTGTTAAGACTGATGGCTGATGCTATCTCGGCTTCCCGTCGCTTGTCTGCAATAATGTTCTTTTGAGCTGATGGGCGATATGGGCTGCTGATTGTTGCTTTCATACGGTATAGTAGTATTAAGGGCCTGTCTATATTCCACCCTAAAATTTTACATCATGTCATATCGAACGTTTGAACGCATGCATGAAGTATTAAATTATAGACTAAAAATAACTAATTGTATAGGTTGTGACTAATTTGCGAGACAAATCTTTTAAGCCTAATTGCTCCATAATTTAATAATGTGGTGTGACAGTAAACATTTGCTAATAACGGATTAATTATGCTTAATAAAATCGTCTCGCGGTTTACTGTCGGATTCTGTAATTTATTTTTTTATTAGCGTCCAAATACCCATACAACACTTTATATAATATCCGATGTGACACACCAAAACTTTACACCCCTGTATACACCCCCTAACATTCAATCCTTCTGCATATTTGAAAAAAAAAAGAAAATAATTGTTTGAATTGATATGATGTTTTTCAAGTTCTATAATCTATACAGGGTCAAACATTAATATTAAATTAATGTGATGTGAGAACTAGTTAATGCTGTGGATGATACGCCTCTGCTTGCTCGAGCTTGCTGCCTTGCTGCACCGCTGTTTGTGCGAGCAGTAGAGCTACGGGACTCTTTCGATCCCTGCCAAAAATTTTACGCCATCTCATATCAAACGTTTGAAAAACTAAATAAAGTATAAAATATAGGTTAAAAATAACTAATTGTATATATTACGATTAATTTATGAGACAAATCTTTTAAGTCTAATTGCTCCATAATTTATTAATGTGGTGCTACAGTAAACATTTACTAATAACGGATTAATTAGACTTAATAAATTCGTCTCACAGTTCACTGATGAATTCTGTAATTAGTTTTTTTATTAGTGACCGAACACCCCATACAACACCCTATATAATATATATCCGATGTGACATACCAAAATTTTACACCTCTAAATCTAAACTGGTTTTCCCTGGATTGTTAGTTGTTTGAACCTAATATATACTATGCTTCGAGATTACATCCTTTAGTTCTACCGGCGCCCTGCCTCTGCATGCATAACAGTATTGTCTCTTAAAGTATCTATGGCTAGCAAGTCTAAGAGGATATGTGCAACTGACTAGGTCCTATTTAGATTCTAATTTTTTTCTTCAAACTTTAAACTTTTCCGTCACATCGAACTTTTCTACACATACAAACTTTCAACTTTTCCGTTACATTGTTCCAATTTCTTCAAACTTCTAATTTTAGCGTGGAACTAAACACAACATAAATGAACTGACTAGTTATGATGTTCCTCCGCTGCTTGGTTTTATATGAAGCAACAGCTGTTTATACTGTTTGCACTTGGCAATGCCTAGTAAATGTAATGTGGTAACATAATAAATTCATAATGCCATATTGTCATAGATAAATTAAAAACCGGTTTGATTCTAAAAAACCGCCATCGGTTCACTGTTCCCATAAAAACCTTCCGGTTCACCGGTTTTTTACCGGTTTGATTGCAGGAACAGTCTTTTTTGCTAAACTGAGCCACCAAGATGCTAGTTCAGGTTTTTTTGGTTTAACCGTCAGTCCAGTCCGGTTTTTTTTATTATGGTCCAAAGTGATACAATATGGTAAGAATAGGGGATCTAAAGTGAAAATAAGGGCTAAAGGTAGTTCAGAAATAAAATTCGGTTAGACATGGGACCTAGGGTTCATGCAGGAGCTAGTCTGCTAGTGCTAACACCCAAGCACGTGAGTCATGTGATAGAAATTCGCCGCTTATATATAAGTTACCTAGAAGTTAGAACGTGATTACATTTTTAGTTATTATTATACCGTCTATAGTTATATTTGAAAGCTTTTCAAACAAGAATCTGTTGAATGTTTTATAGATACACCCAATTAATTGAGCAGTTGAAACTAAAGCAAAACATCATGCAGTGCTAAGCAGAATGGGTGTTTGGAGCAAAAGATCGATCGGTGGATGTGGCTAGCAGGCTAGGGCTTTTCTTTTTGTGCAGGCTGTGACTGTGGCGCTGTCTTCCCGCGCCTTTTGTTTTGGCAAATGGCAATCCTCTTTCCCGTGACTCCTGCCTGGCTCGTGCTGACCAAACCAAACCAATCAAGGCCGTGTTTAGTTTGTGTGCCAAAAATTTTTTTTATACGTACACATATTTAAAGTATTAAATGTAAACTAATAACAAAATAAATTACAGATTCTGTCCGTAAATTGCGAGACAAATCTATTAAGCCTAATTAATTCATCATTAGCAAATACTTACTATAGCACCATATTGTCAAATCATAGCGTAATTAGGTTCAAAAGATTCGTGTCGTAATTTACATGCAACCTGTGCAATTAATTTTTTTTCCACGTTTAATGCTCTGTGCATATGTCCAAATTTTTTATGTGATGGAATTTTCGGAAGTTTGAAGGGAACACACAGTCGTAGGGTGTGTTTAATTCACACCAAAATTGGAAGTTTGGTTGAAATTGAAATAATGGGATGAAAAAGTTAAAAGTTTACGTGTGTAGAAGATTTTAATGTGATAAAAAAATTAAAAGTTTGAAGAAAAATTTTAGAACTACACTCCCGCCGTAGTACTACTCCATCAAGTTTACACGAGTAGTAGACTGCACTCGTATTATCATATCACTTCATCAAGTTGTGTGAAAAGGCTATCCTCTCACTCATCAGTAGCATCATCTTATCAATCAGATCACATCGTGGCAGCCAATGCGTGCAAAAAGGATGGAGCATACGTATAGACAGTGTAGTTTCAGACTTTTACTTTTGTAGGAGTAGTACTACTAGAGCCAAATTTTTTCCCAAAAACATCACATCGAATTTTTGACACATATATGAATAATTAAATATAGATAAAAAGAAAAACTAATTGCAAAGGAAAACTAATTGCACAGTTTGCATGTAAATCGCGAGACGAGTCTTTTAAGGCTAATTAGGCCATAATTAGCCATAAGTGCTACAGTAACCCGCATGTGCTAATGACGAATTAATTAGGCTCAAAAGATTCGTCTTGCAGTTTCCAGGCGAGTTAGGAAATTAGTTTTTTTATTCGTGTCCGAAAACACCTTCCGATATCCGGTCAAACGTCCGATGTGACACCCAAAAATTTTCATTTCCTCGACTAAACAAACCCGAGCCTCTTTCTTTTTCTTTTGCGCTACCTATACTTGTACTAGGGCGAAAAATTTAAAATTTAGCTAGGGTGGAATCAAGGCATTGTTTAGGGGGTGTCTACATCAGGGTGAAAATTACTGAGGTGTCACATCGGATATATGGACATAAATTTAAAATATTAGACGTAGTCTAATAATAAAATAAATTACATAATCCGCATATAAACTGCGAGATAAATTTATTAAGCCTAATTAATCCGTCATTAGCAAATGTTTATTGTAGCACCACATTATCAAATCATGTTGCAATTATGCTTAAAATATTCATCTCGCTCATGTAAACTATGTAATTGATTTTTTTCATCCACATTTAATATTTTATGCATGCGTCCAAACGTTCGATTTGAAAGGGTGAAAATTTTTGGGACGGGATTTAAACAAGACCAAACGTTCGCGAAAAGAAACAATAGTTTTGGAGACATATTATATTATGGGATTATGGGATAGAGGGAGTACTAATTATTTAATTTGATGATTATAATACTTATTATGAGTAGAAATAAAAAAAATCGGGCGGATGAGCGGATGGATGTGCTGGGCCGAACGTGGTCGCGCGTGGGCCGAGACTCCCTATACCTCCCCGCAACGGTCAACCTATCCGATGTCGGTCTCGGATTGTATAAGTGTAAAGGAGGCCGAGTCGGTCCCAGCAACGGGTGGGACCAGAGTGTATGGACCGGGTTTATTTAGGGCAGCGGCAAAATTAAAGATATGCGATACGTTTTAGAGAGAGAGAGAGGGAAGGGGGAAAGGCAAGGGGAGGCGGAGAAAAACACAAGGCTCTCAAGGAGAGAGAGAAAACCCTAGCTAGCTAGGCGCCGTCGCAACCTTGCTCCCGTCCGTCCGTACGTCGGAACGCAGCTATGGCGGCTGTGGCGCTGCGCTCTCTCGCAAGGAAGGCCATGCCCGCCCCGGCCACCCTCCGCCGGGCGCCGCCGCCATCGCGCTCCCTCCACCGCCACAGCCTCGAGGTTCTTCTCTCTTTCCTTCTCAGCTTCCCTATTTTCGTCAGATCCTGCGTAGGTTCAATCCACCGTCCTCGCGCAATCAGGCCAGCTCACTCCCGGGCTCAGGATCTGTTTCTTGTTTTCGTGATTCATTCACCTCGCCCTCAACCCGACCGCGATTAGAGCCCCGATTTGGGGGGGGGGAATATTTTTTTTCCCATCGAAGTTTCTTCTTTTCCGTATTCATTCGCTTCATGGCCTGCCTGATGTGAACTTTGTGAAACACAAGCAAAACTGCCCCCCCCCCCACCCTCCCAGGAATTATTAGTTGTTTGAACCTAGTAAAAATTTATGCTTCGATATTGATAATCCTTGGATTCTACTGGCATTTCAAAACTCAAACCCTGTCTCTGCATGCATACTATTGTCTCTTAGAGTAATTATTAGCTTGCCAAGCCATATACAGTATGCTGTTAGACTATATGGATAGGATCGTGTAGTATCCGTTTTGGTTTTTTATACATGGTAGATAAAATTAGTTTCCCTCTCTATCTACATTCTTTCATATATACTAGTAGTATATAATATGGCTACGCAAGTGCGATACATAACAGTTCGATATGTGCAACTGACTAAACGAACAACTAATTATGTCTTCCTTCCCCTTCCCTTTTTCCTTTGTATCCTGCAATAGGTTTAGTCACCATCATCGCGCAATTTGGCCAGCTCGCTTCCCGGGGTTGGGTTAGGATCTGTTTCTTGTTTTCGCAAGTCACCTAGTACTCCCCCCAAACCAAATTAGAGACCAATAGGGGAAAAGTTTCGTTTTTTTTCTATCAAATTTCTTCTTTTCTGTACTCATTTGCTTCATTCATGACCTGGCTGATGTTAACTTGGTGCAAACTGGTTTTCCCGCGAATTATTAGTTGTTTCAACCTAAAATTTATGCAACTGGTATTTCAAACCCTGCCTCTGCATGCATACTGTTGCCTCTTACAGTTTCTAGCTTGCTAAGCCATATATATCATGTAGTAACAACTACTATCTCTGTTCCATATTATAAGTCGCTTTGACTTATTTTCTACTCAAACTTTTAACTTTGATCGAGTTTATAGAAAAATATATCAGTATTTTCAACGCAAAACAAACATACTATCAAAATATATTAAATGTTAGTTTTAATAAAGCTAATTTGATATTATAGATGTTAGCAAATTTGATATTAAATGTTAGTTTGACTAAGGAAAAAAATCAAAGCGACTTGTAACATGAAACAGAGAGGGAGCAGTAACAATGGCTAGGCAAGTGCAAGATGTTACAGTTCAAAGGGTACATGCAACTGGCTAAATGATCAACTAGTTATGATGTTAATTGTTAGCCCTTCCTCTGCTGACTGGTTTATCCTGAAGCAACAGCTGTTTGGTAGTCTGCACTTGGCAATTCCTAGCAATATAATTCTGTATCTTCATTCATGTGGAATTGTAGGATAAGCTGCGTGGCACGACATCTCCCAAGACTACAGCTCCTACTGATCAAGGTCGAGTCAGTTATTTTGAAGAAAATCCTGAGCTTTTTGCTGAATTGGTGAAACGAGATGCAGCTCGGAGGATGTTCACCAGGTTGGTGCTGGCGGGTGCTGCTTCAGCGTACGCTGGTGCCCTTTTCGTTGTGTCGTCTATGCGCGATAGCGTGAAGGAAGAGCTTCGCAAAAACATCTACGACTAGGAGCTCTATCGCCAGCTGGTGGCTACATATTTCTGTCTCTGTGTTATCTATGACTCTGCCCTGCTTATCATGGCTTGTTTAATGTAACATGGCATTTCCTACTAATCATCGATGTGTAACGTACCATCGTACTATAGTTGCACTCTATAATAGTTTGTGATGGTTGGTTGGTAGTAACGCCGTTACTTCATGGTATTTTTGGATAGACTGGTGAATAGCCAATACGGTTTCTATAGTTTTGCTCTGTGATCAGTTTAGTCCCTAATATTTTTAACAAGTCTGCAAGATTTACCACTTGGCCTAAATCTACTGAAAATGGCATGCGGATGTGACATGTCATCCTCGCATGCAAAGTCGGCAATTAAAATTTCATTATACCATTATATGTGCCACAGTAAAAAGAAAGAAAGATCGGAAAATTGAAAAAAAATGAAATAAAGGCCATGCAGAAAAAAAAAACACCCAACAGTTCGACTATGTAAAACAAACATCCGTGCAAAAAGTACTCCCTTAATATTATAAGTTGTACAAGTCGTTTGACTGTAAAACAAACATATTATAAAAAAAACATTAAATATTAGTCTTAATGTAATTAATTTGGTATCATAGATGTTGCTAAATTTTTCTATAAATTTGATCAAACTTAAATAAGTTTGACTAGGAAAAGAGTCATATTTTTAAGTTGGTTTGTCCTTCCACTAAAAAATAGTTAGCTTGTCTTATTTTTGTTCCATCTCTATTTTCTTACCATGGTTTATATAATGGTAGAAAGGCTAACTTGCATGTAAGAATAACGTGACATGCCCGTATAACATTTTTTTGTTGGGTTTAATGATTATGCTAAGCCAAATAATAAACCTTTAGTACTTATTTGGATAATTTGATACATCAAAGATTAAATTGACCTTGGAGCGGAGTTTCATACACCATATTTGCTATTCACTTGATGATTATGGATCACTATTATGGTATCATGAGTCATGACAAAAATATGGTGGTGTTTATTAATTTTGTAAAGTCGGGATAAATGCGCCTTGGGAGAGCTTTTGGTAACTGTAGTTTCTCGCAAATTAATAGCACTCCAAACCATCAACTTTTTGTCCAGAAATTATGGAAGCTTCTGGAGATTCTCATGAGCTCCTTATCAGAACCTAAAACTCTCCAAAACAAGCCTTTAGACTTATCTTACAAAGCAAGATGTATTTGCAAAATTATCACAAAAAATTCTAGAAAAAAAATCATACATGTACTTCCAATAGTATTACATCTACGTGCAAAGTCGCATCTTCAAATTCTTTCTACATAGAGAGTAACAAAAAAGATAAAATTATGACAACATTATAACTTTAAAACTGTCAGATTTTTTTTGTTACAGCTAAAATGTAATGAATTTGATGTTAACATTTTACCCTTAGATGTAACACTATTGAAAGTACATGTATGATTTTTTTTATAGATTTTTGGTGACATTTGTTAGTTGGTGTGCATAATATATGTTGCATATATATATATATATATATATATATATATATATATATATATATATATATATATATATATATATATATATATATATTAAATATTTTGATAAATAAACTTATGTAGCTTAGGACAATGGATTTGTTTAATTAATTCAATAGGAAAAGTTTTTTGAGAAAACATATTTGTAGAGATGTAGAATAAATAATTCACTACAATAATCCTATGAAGTATAGCTGAAAAACAGGATTTGGTCGTCAAAGTTAGCTATGCCCACTAAATTTGTGTGCACTTCCATTTTCGATTGGGATAATTCTATTTTACTCCTCTTGTACTCTCCACTTTATCTAAAACTCACCCCAAACCCTAACAAGTAACACCTCAGGATTTTCATAATCCCAAACATTCAGCAACGTTTAACCGACAGTCGTTGGCCTAATCTGAGGTGGTTCTAGAGGCCTAGTCAGCCAATAAAAAAAGTTGTAGTAAATTTCATAAAACCACAGGTTTTGGGACATTTATAAAACAAACCCTAGCTTTTGCAACTTGTTTCAAAGAATCATGGGCTTTATGGCAAATGTTTCATAAAAACCCACATTCATCCCTATATCTTTTGTTTGGCTATTATACTTACGCAAAATACATGTATAAAAAATAATATGTCATAATTTTCTAAGTAGATACACAGGTTAGCTACTTCCATAATAAACATGTTAGCTACTTCCATAATAAACAGGATTGAGATCCTCTGTCTTCAAATGCACGATGCTTTTGTCACTGGCATGTGGGCTCAGGGATCATCGGGTCCACATGTCAGTGACAAAGTCACGTGACTTTGAAGGTAGAGGATCCTGATCCTAATAAACATCAGTCGCCAATTAAATACGGTTTTGGCCTATGTAATCCATTCATGAAAATATTGTATGTTATAGTGAAATATTAATGTTTTGCATAGATATGAGGTTTATATGAAACACTTTGCCCCAAAATCTAGGGTTCTTAGGAACAAATTGCAAGAGCTAGGATTTTGTGATATGGATGTCCTAAAACCTCAGTTCTGTGCAAGATTACATAATATATAGCTTTCCTATCCTAGCTGTGGTTCAACTAGGTAGATTACAATTCTTATCTAAACAAACTCCATAAAACCTCGGTTGGGGTTGATAAAAGCATAGTTACAATATATTATTGCATGTAGTTTAACATCCGCAACAAAGGTGGACACCGGTGGAGGCGGGATGTGAATATTTTGTTAGCGAGGCCAAGAAGGATCTCGGTAGAGGTGGTGAGAGGAGTGTTTGTCGGCGGCGCAGGAGTTTGTCGGTAGCGGGTTGGTGCCTATGCAGCGAATCGCGGATTGAAGCATCTAGGCCCCCGTTGTTAATTTTGGTAATTAATGACAAGCGTTAATTGTGGACTAACCGTTGATATTGAGATAATATTTCAAGTTAGGTCCACGTCATGTATGCGCATGGATGACTATCGATTGATTAAAATTTGATGGCGCGAAGCGAAGAAAAGAAAACGGTAAAACTAGTGTTTTAGTTTTAAAATTGATCGAGGTGAAGGGCGATCAAATTTGCTAGTTTATTTGTTAGTTTTGCCATACTATCAAGGGGGGTAATGACCTAGCAAAGAGATGATTAAATTGCCACATTAGGTCATTGCATTTTCATTTATGCTCACATTTTCATCACACACACATATTCACATTGTATCTCACTGGGTTCGGCCTGACCAGGGGCGGTCAGACCGGCCACATAGTGGCAGTCTGACCGGCGAGCCCTGGCCGGTCTAACCGGCCGCAAGAAGGCGGTCTGACTGGCGCATAAGGCCAGTCTGACCGGTGGCACACGCGCGGTCAGACCGGCCCCCTGGAGACCGGGATGGTGCTGCTCGGGGTGGCCGATACAGAGCCGACGGAGCCATATTCAGTCAGACTGAGCCGATGGCGGTCTGACCGAGCCGAAGCCGGTCTGACCGGCCACTCAACCTCGGTCTGACCGGCCAGGCCGATGGGGCCCTCTGACAGGGCTACAATGGCTAGTTTTCCAGCCGTTGCAGAGTAGCACGGTCTGACCGGCCACATACCTCCGGTCAGACCGGCAGAGCACAAAGTTGGGGGATTTCACCCCCAACGGCTAGTTTTGGTTGGTGGGAGTATAAATACTCCCCCTCCAGCAGCAAGGGGGCTCCCTTGGCACCCAATTTAATTGCATACACCCCTTGCATCTCTCTCACACCCACTTGAGCTTTGTGTTCATCCATCTAGTGTGTTAGAGGGTTGATTAGCCAAGAGACAAGTGCATTGCTTCCATTTGTAGAGCTAGTGTGGCACTTGATTGATCATCTCCACGCCGGGTCATTGCTTGTTACTCTTGGAGGTTGCCGCCTCCTAGACGGCTTGTGGAGGAGTTGCCCGGTGACCTCTCCGAGAAGATTGTGGAGGAGGCCCAGCGCCGGTTTGTGAGTGGTTTGGAGTTCACCACCTTCGGAGTGAAGGAAGAACTACCCTAGTGATCGAGGCTTGGGTAGTCCTCTCCGTGGGCCGGCTCCCGCCTTGCCCACCCCTTGACGAAGGGGGCGTGCGGTGGCTTCGTGGTTGAGCGGTGGAGTTGGGCTCGCCTCAACGGGGAGTAGGAAACTGGCGAGTTTCCAAACCTCAGTGAAAAATCTCTTGTCTCATTGTCTCGTTTGATTGTCATATTTACATTTATGCAATTTATATTTCTAGAGACATACTTGAGATCATATCACCCTAGGATTGCTAAACATTGACATAGGAGTGTGATTTGCATTCCTAGAGATATAATTGAGCCACTATCACCCTAGGTTTGCAAAACATAACTTAGTTGCTTAGTTAGAGTTCACCATCACCAAGCCTAGCAACTTAGGTTAGTTTTGATTAGGTGTTATTCATCCCCCCTCTAGTCGACATCTCGATCCTACACGGATAGCAGGTGCTATATCAGACGCTAAGTTCCAATAACATCATTTAATTGTCACACGTATTTAGGTATATATATACTTATGTATCATGAATAATGAATTTATAAAGCATTAACAAAGAAATCATAAACAAATTAGTGATAGATCGATACACCTATAACCTATGAGGATAAGTAGAGGTTTAGTAGCACTTGGAGAATTCATATCTCGTGCCAACTTAAACTAAATTAAGAAACAAACATGATATTCTACTTATTAGACGTTATGACTCACAAGAAAATGTTTTGGAAGACAAAACAACTAACAAACTCATCATTTGTTATGTGTTGGTGGTTATATAAAATAGGCTCACGCTATAGCGGCCGCTAAATTAAATTACAGACGCTATAACGGCCCATTAAGTTCCAACATGCTATGTACAATCCACTACGTCGTCGTAGCGGTAGCGGTAGGGGCTCGCTACTGCTATAGTGCCCACTATGAACGCTATAGGGTGTGTTTGGTTGCCTCGCACCTGTGTGTGCAACTTTCTCTTGTTTAGTTGTCTGGTGACCTTTTCAGCCTAGCCCAACACAGGCGGGACTAGTTTTACTGTATCTTTAGCTATTTTTGTAAACGTTGATTTGATAGTCCGTCTGAAAAAATAAAATCATGATGTTGAAAAAAAATCGTTTTTCTAGTGGTGGCTACCTCGTTTTCTGTTAGCATGTTTTGCAAACTACTAAGTTATAAGTTATGTGTGGAAACCTTCTTATAAAAAATTTGCTTTAAAATATCAGATACTACTTTTAAGTTTATAATAGTTAA